AAACGTCTGAGCTAAAAGATGCTAAAGACTTGCTAAAAGAAACTGGGACATCATTTTTATTGCTGCGTGCAAATCATTTCAGGAAGCATGCAGTCATTTGAGACAAGGCAAGATTACTTTATTGTCATGATAGGAGAAAATCACCTTGGATTAAGCCACACTTTAATAAACAGACCTCAGAATAAATTAACAGATAAATGATTTTTAAAATGCATTTACAGCAAAACCTCTCTGCTTATCTGTCTGTCCCACATGAGCTGTTCATTTATCAGCTTAACTGTCAAATTAATATTTATTATTGCACAACAGGAGCCTGCATCTCCTTCCAGAGTCCATTAGCACATAATCAGAGGTCCACACATGTGAAGAAGCAACTAAAAGCTCTGTTCCCTTTTTATATGTGCTATATAAATGACAATAACAAGACAAGTAATCATAAAAAGCAGGATTGTTTCACTTGACTTTATATATTTTAATAACAAATTAATATTACTGTAGTACCTTAAAAAACCTTAAAATGCCTTTAAAAAAATCAGAAATCACTGGTTGAGTTAAAGATACTTATTCCATTTGCTAATAAATACAAGTTAAGCATGTTTTGAGTTGCAGATGATCTAATCACGACACCGTTTGTTTGCTCCAACTTTACCAAATGACCCCCAACCCTCCCCCACTCCTTTGACTGTCAAAAAGAAACCTGCTGCGTGTTCTCCTCCTCCAGGCTTCCTGATGTCTCTGGATGACTTCTACCTCCTTGGGAGCGGCCTGCTGATGACTCAGACCTCCATCGGCGTCTTCAATGCCTCTCTGTTCTCTCAGCTCAGCCCTCACAGCCTGCTGGCCTGGCAGAGGGTCCGACTGGCTAATGGTCTGGCGCACACTGGAGAGGAGTGGGCGCAGGTTTTCTCCAGATACAACTCAGGTGAGATTTCAGTGATGTCAATTAAGGCAAGCGGTGGTTGAGTTTTGAGGCTTTATTCAAAACCAAAGTAAGCCACAAATATGGAAAAACAGCCATCAAATCACTTTTTAAAAATAACATAATTAAGAATATGGAGCCACTAATTCACACTAATGCATGCTGTTATTGCCCTGCCTCCTGGCTTTTAGACGTAATGCTGGCAATGCAAAAATTCACAGGACACATGTCCATAGAGATTTAGCAGTCTCTCAAACACATCGTTCTTCTCAATTACACAATGCTTGTGTGTGTTAATTGGGAAGGCTGCTTTGATCTTTCACGTCACGTTGCTATGGAGGGCAGAGGAGAGAACAGGACAGGGTGTTCTTGAGACTGACAGCTCTTTAACAAACAGCAGAATTGGCGCTCAGATTCACCATCCTGCCAAGCTATTGCAGTGACCTGCAGACCGTGATGTCATTTCATTCAGATCGGGTTATGTTTTAGGTTTTTATGGCATGTGCAAATATGTATCTAATAAGACAAAAGTTTATGTGCTTCCCTCTCTAGATCCAAATCCCTCAGGTGCATGCGAGACTGTACATGTAAGCTTTCATTTTACAGTAGGATAGCTAACATGCAGCAACATGAGCTAGACCGACATTACTTCAGTATTGGTCTTTTAGTGAGTAAAGGTAAATAAAGTTGTACCACATCTCACAAAATCCCGCCAATATTTGTTGACACACAAAATCCAAGTGTCCATGGGACAGGGAGGAGTGGATCTGTATTTCCTTTGTATTTCAGGCACATATAACAGCCAGTACATGGTGGTGGACCTGAACAGGATTTCTCTGAGTAAAAGCATCAGGGATGGAGCTCTGACTGTTGTAGAGCAGATTCCCGGCAAAGTCAAGCACTCCGATCAGACTCGGGCGTTACGCAGAGGTAAGAAACCACCTGTATCTGTGTGATTACTGCTGTTGTTGATTTCTGAGTGACCTCCCCCTCCAGTGTGCTCCATTTAACAGGTTATTGGCCGTCATACAATATACCATTTCATGCTGAAATCTACAACCTGAGTGGGTACAGTGTGATGTGGAAAAGATACGGGGAAGACTTTTCCTATGATCTCTGTCCCCGAGCTAAAATCCTCCGCAGGGACCAGGCCAAGGTGTCCGACCTCAGCTCCCTCAAACGCATGATGAGATACAACAGTAGGTGAAACAACAGGGTTATTGTTCCTCGCGCTGTATGTCCGCTCTGGAGCTCAAAGCACTTCACAGAAAACACAAATAGCCCGGGATATTTTTGTTCCCGTCAAAGTGAAAGCAGCATGACTAAACGTCAGACTGCTTCTGTTTCAGACTACAAGAAAGATCCCTACTCAAAGGGCCATCCCTGCAAAACCATCTGCTGCCGCAACGACCTGAGACCAAGGAGGCCACGGCCAGGGGGCTGCTACGACACTAAGGTCAGAGGACACCAGCACATTAGGCCAGAATCAGCTATGTCACAGTGTGAGGATAAAAACAAAATACAAAGTACAGCATGTGTTTTGCTTGTGTTTTTGTCTGCCGATATAACCTTTGGTTAATGAGTCACCGCTGTCACATGCCCTTTAAATTCCCTGTTTATTTTTAAAGCTGCAGTTTTTCTCTTTACTCCTTTTGTTATTTGTTTAACTATTTCTAGGTGTGTGTTGTTTTTAATAGAGCAAGATGTTGATTCTCTACGTTAGAGTAAAACAGGGAGTATATCAGGGTGTGTTTCAGGGCGTGTCTAATCTGTGATTGACAAGTTGCTACCACAGAATTGAGCATTGCCCTCAAATTCTCAGTTTGATCTGCCCATCAGCTGTTCTGTATTTGTTTGTAATAAAAAACTGCAGAGTGAGCTCATCCAGTAAGAACCTTTTTTTTTTTAAACCAATAATTTTTTACTTGCTAAAGCTGGCATTCATTTTTATATCACAGTGAATTACAAACCTTGCACCTTGTTAATCAGTCTAGGACAAATATGCTCACAAACAACCGAGATGCCTTGCACAAATCAGTGAGTATATCTTTTTGTTAGACTGCTGTCTGTGATCCACAGTGCTAATATGGCAACAATAAAACCGATATGTAAATCTAGTATCCAAATATAGATGCTCCAAACAAGATATACCACCAGGTGATATTAGTCATATCACCTGGTGGTATTAGAATAAAGGCCAGGTTATCACCTCTAGCATTTGTGAATGTGTGTGCAAACACTGTTGCTAATCTGTCTGTTAGATATTTCCTAGATTAAGTGAAAAAATATATTTGCTGCTGGCAAAATATGAGAACACTCTCCAAAGTTAATAAGATTCATTCACATTAATTATGTGTAGATTTCTGTTCAGTTCAGTTTAAATTGTGCAGTGGTTGAAGCCAGTATTTCAAATGAAGCAACAAGATTTGATTAGAAGCATTAAATTACCTTTCTTTCACATGTTCCCTCCTCATTTCTGTGTCACGGTATAGGTGACGGACTACCAGATGGCGCTCCAGCTGGTCGCCGAGGCAATAAATGGCCCCACGACCCAGGGGGGTCTGCGCCCATTTTCATGGCAGTCCTTTAACTTCACGATTCATCAGGGACTCCCCCACACGTACAACTTTCCCTTTATCACCATGAGGCCCATGCTGGACAAGCCATAAGAGCACAGAGCTGGAAGATGCCATGCGTCCATGTGCAGCTGTGTTCAAATTCACAAATCCTGCGTCACAACACTGAAAATCCTGTTGGTGCAGCTAAACAGAGAGTAAAAAAACTTGATTATTTTGCCAACATTGGTGTTTTTTTTATTAATAATTTAATAATCCATTTTAAAAACAAACAACAAATGATCAAAGTGAAGTATACTGAAATAGATGCCACTAGATGCAGTGAGGTGTTTGTGATGTAGTGTTGTGTTGGTCTTATTTCACAGCATCTATCTGTTAGTGACAGAGTACTCTGAACTGGCATAAGGATTGTCGGCTTGTTTGCGCTATTTTAACACTCTGTGTAAAGTTTCCACAAACGTTTGGATTTAAACCATCAGGAAAATCCTGTTCGTTTTATATTTATTATAATTACAGTATTTTTGTTTTTGAGTTCAATTCTATGCAGTATCTACTCAGGTTTGCACATTGTGGAAGAAAATTATCTAAGTTTGCATTAATATTAACTATACTAAATTAAATTATAACCTGTGGTGCATTTTGTCTTTATAAACAGAAATAAAATTCGCAAAAACTACAACAACTGTTTTTGTGCAAAATATGAAAGGAAAAGATGTTATTTTCAAAATAAAATATTCACAAAAGGTTCACATTTCTGATCTGGTTGACAAAAAAGAGAAGTTATGATAATTGCATTTGACTGCCATGTATAGTACCTATGGGAAAATGAATAAACTCAAGTAACAATTTTAAGCAACATTTGACTGCATAACAAATAGGATTTCTCAACTACTCTTACCTACTTGTCAGTTCCTAATGTGTTTTTACCACCAGACTAAGGGAAGGTTAAATTCATGGTAAATGGCCTGTATTTATATAGCGCTTTACTAGTCCCTAAGGACCCCAAAGCGCTTTACATATCCAGTCATCCACCCATTCACACACTGGTGATGGCAAGCTACATTGTAGCCACAGCCACCCTGGGGCGCACTGACAGAGGCGAGGCTGCCGGACACTGGCGCCACCGGGCCCTCTGACCACCACCAGTAGGCAAACACAGGGTTAGTATCTTGCCCAAGGATATTTGGTATGCAGCCAGGAGGCAGCCTGGGATCGAACCACCGACCTTCTGATTAGTGGCTGACCTGCTCTGCCACCTGAGCTACAGCCACCCACACCCAAATTCATCACTCATTAGTGTAAGATGACAAAAGCGAAGTATAAACCTAGACAGCGTAGACAGGTTTTTTTTGTTTTTGTTTTTTGCCTCGATAAAATTTAACATTTTTAAAACTTGATTAGAAAATATTATTTTCTTCTGTAGCGGCCATTACAGCTTTTACTTTGAAAGTGTCTCTGGGACATAGTGTGGTTAACTTCCTGTAACTTAACCAGCTTGCTTTGAGTGGGCACTCTGGGGGCGGAGCATACTCGGTTGGATAGCTGAGAGAAAAAGCCGAGGCAACAGTCCGGGGTCCACCGCGCTCGTATCTGGTCTGTATCCAACTGCTTTTTTTCCTAAATGGCAACGACGGCAGAGGACCAGCGGGAACCGGCGGACGCCGCTGCACTGTCGACACACCACGGCTGCCACCACCACAACAGCAACAACAATAACAACAACAACAATAACAACAAAGACAGCGAGGCGGGAGAGAGCGCGACCTCTGCCACCGCCAGCTCGACAGAATCCGGCGGGACGGCGTCGCAGAGCATCGGTAACGGCTCGGTTATCAACCCTAACGGGGGGAACAACGGGAAGTGGGTTCGCCTCAACGTTGGCGGCACGGTGTTCCTCACGACGCGGCAGACGCTCCTCAAGGAGCAAACTTCGTTCCTGTACCGGCTGTGCCAGCAGCAGGACCTGCATTCGGACACGGTAAGCCCCGCCAGGACGCTTTAACCCCCGCTGAACGGTGCTTCGCTCCGGGCGAAACATAACTATTATTTTGTCACAGCAGCGGGTGAGCTGGGACTGCACCTCCTCCACTTATTGTCTTTGTGATGGTTTCAACGTCCTGTGAGCATTTAAGTTTGATAGTTACTTTGTCTCAGACGCTATTATTCTGGGTACTGGCAAGTGACATTGTGCCATATATCAGATTTCTATGAAAACGAATGTGGTGACAGTACATTACAATAGACGTTGCACACCATTCGTGTTGTGGCACGCAATTGTATTTGTTAAGAACAGAGACACTGGTGCGGTTTTTGATCTCTTGATAACACTCCTGCTATCTGCAGCGGCTTGAAGTTAACAACAGCTTAGATCGTTGAGGCATCTGTTAACACACGATTGGTTCGATTTATCTTAACAGGCTTACTGCTTTGGTCTAAAATGGCGATTATTTTCTATAAAATGCGTGTGCATCTGTTTCCATAAAGTACGGAATTGTATCCCATGATATCACTCCAACATGAGTACTGATTTCCCTAAAACTTGCATCTGTCCTCTCCCGGAAATCCACTCCTGCAGCTCCAAATAGGCATGGAGCAGCCCACTAACCAGGAGATATACATGCAGTCTGAAGCACTTCCACTCTCCTGCTTTTCTTCATGTGAATGTTGCTTGGGTCAGATGGATGAACACGTGCCTCCTCTTCTGCAGGGAGCCACACAGTTGGTAGCTGTACAGCTGGCATCTTATGGGGAGGGCAAGAGAGAGGGAGAGTCTGGCTGTCACATGTAGACTGAAAGGACTTGAAAGACTCATGAATGATGCAGATTTCTATTATGCTGCATGGACTTTGATATGCATGAGTATGACAAAGGGTGGGGGTGGGGGGGAGGTCCTCGTGAACCACAGCCCACTGTAAACTGATACAATGCTGCAGGCAGGTGAATACCTCCATGTTGCCAAAATTTCAGCTTTTCTGGAGAAAATAGGAGGGGGTGAGGAGTTGTCTGATCAGTGGTGTGTAATTTTATACTACAGTACATTAGGTAGCACAACAGAGAGCTGGCAGGAAATGAAGCAGGTGGTAACGATTAATAAAAGACCTTGACTGAACACAAACCTGTGATGATACAATTACATGGTGAATGTATTAAACTCATGGGCCAGCAGAGCACTCCAGAGATATTAATTAGTTACTCAAATTAGCAATTTAAAAGTAGGGTTGCAAATAGGGCTGGGCGATATGACCCAAAATCCATATCTCGATATTTTTTAGCTGGATGGCGATATAAGATATATATCTCGATAATTTTTTTTTTTTTTAGCCATAAGTTAAGAACAAAAAGAGAGTTCTTAGTCACACTGTGTCCCAGCTGTCACACGGGCACTTTTATTTACATACAGCGTAGATGTACATGAAGAAATTACTCAAAAATAAATTATCAGCATTTATTAAATAATCATGGTCCATAAATAAAAGAAAACAATGTTGTTTTTGTGCATAACAAAAAGCTCACAATTGTGCAGTCAAAATGTAAACTAATAGACGCTGAGCGTAATAACAAAGAGACAGATTTCACAGCTGCACCACGTCTCTGAACAGGTGCCATTTGTGGTCCTTATACACACAGTACGTATCACTCCGCGAGGCTCCTCCTCTGTAGCCGTAATCCTCCGACAATCCATCAAGCGGTGCAGCTCCGTAGCTTAGCAAAGTCATATTAAAACATTTTTTGACAGATTGCTGAGCGCAGTGTACCACATAAAATCGGTTCGTGGTCAGTAAGCACAACCAGAATTCATACATAAGGCGCGCTGTCGATTTTTTGAAAAAATGAAAGGATTTTAGGCCGTGCAGCCCCTCCTGGCTGCATGTCGTTAGCGCGGTTAGCTCGTTAGCGCGGTTAGCTCGCTAACACCTTGACGCCGTCCAGCCCCACGCACTGTAACTCGCTAACGGAGATTTTCCGCTTTCATCTTGTCATTGCCTGCAGGTGAAGCTATGGGGGAGGGGGAGTTGTGTTCAGTGAAGGAGAGGCGAGGCCGAGTAACGTTGCGTAGAGACAAAAGTGGACGAAAGAGAGGCAAACCTGCGGCTCCACAAGTATAATTATAACGTAACATAGACTATATCGATATAAACGATATTGTCACATCTTATATCTCGTATGAAAATATATCGATATTTTTAAAAAACTCTATATATCGCCCAGCCCTAGTTGCAAATATTCAGTTAATCGGCTGACAGATGGATAAGCGTTTGTTTGGTTTTTCTTGTCACCACATCGCCATAGACTATAGGAAACTGCATAGGTTCTTTCTCACTTTTTAAATGATTTGATGTTTAATTGTGTAGGTCAATCTGTAAATCAATAATTTGTTGTCGCACTCCTTGAAATTTTATTTATTTTGTGAACCAATACATACAATTTCAGACAAATTACAACAATCCTGGGACTAAAAATATATATTTTAATATATTCTTAGATTAGTCATTAAGGGTCATTGCTGACTTTGTGCTTAGTTTTGATTCATCAAAAAAACCCTCCTTGCGGCTCTTTTGGGTGATAGCAGATTGCTACAATTGCTGATAGTTTTTATGGAAGTTGCTGATTTGTCTGCAGACCCTCGCTAATTAACCACTGAGTAGCTGCTGTGAGCAACCATTCATCAACCAGCTGGGGAATTTTCCCTCAGTAACCTAGTATACCAGACCGTAACCGGGGATCGCCAACTGGTATCTAAGCCTATGTGACTGGGGCCTAACCGGTTTTAACCCCCCTTGCAGCTGTGGGGCACCTGCAAGCCATTATGCAATCTGCCTTCTGCCCAGCTTCTCCTTTCATGCCCTATCAGACTAAATGTGTATTTAGCGGGGTTTTGCCAGCTCTGTGCTGAGGTCTTGCTGCTCTTCTTGCCTCCAGCTTTCCATGTATGCACATGGCGGAAGGGCAGAGCCATGCTATCAAATACAAATTACTGCAGCTGGAAGTGGCGATCTCCTTTTGATTATAGTGGTCCCGACTGAATTGACTTTTTAGTCAGGAACAGCAGTGAACCAAAATAGAAAGAAATTCACCCTTCTAAAAGTACATGTCATGTTTCAGTTGAGAACATTGTGCACCTGCCAGTCAATTCCTGACCTTTAGAAAGGTTTATTTTAAGATTTTTTTTCCTCTTTTCTTTTTTTGTGACTGTTACAGGAAAAACAGGAAATGCGGGAGAGCAGGGGAATTTTAGGCTGCTGTTTGAATCTTTAGTGGCTGCTCATAGTGTACGACTACATGTGATATTCACCCCAGTCCCAAACTGTGACACAAATACTAAACCAGCGGGGAAAACTGCATCAAGTCATGGTTAGGATTAGAATCGAGCCTCCCTTTAAGATCAAGATGTGGCTTGATGATTTGCCACATCGCTTATGCTGTTATTATTATTACATGTGCAGTCACTGAAGCAGGTTACAAACTGAATATGCGACAGATCCAGAAATAACAATCGCAGAGGATTGAGTGGGATTGTGGTGCGCAGCAGTGATGACTGTTCCCCTGCTGCACCTCTGGGTGCTATGGAAAGAATATTCCTGTGTGACCTTCAGCTGTGACCTGACAGGAGGTTTCTCTGCGCTGCCTGATGACACACATGTAATCTCTCTTTCTGTGTCTCACAAATATTCAGACGCACACCAACACTCTCCTTGCTCCTCATTATTTTCTACCTCCCTATATTATTTTCTTGTCTTCTCTGCATTCTCGCTCTTGGTAGTTGACTCACTTTGTTTTACATTCATGCTTTTTTTTATTATTATTTTTTATTTTTGCTTGTGCCCTTTAATTTATGCATTGTATCACAAACTCCTGAATCTCAAACCACGGAGAAGAATACTTAAGTAAACTTCTTTTTCTTCTGATTACTACCCATTTGCTAGCAGCTCAAAAACAGGAACTGAGCTGTCAGTGAGACTCTGAATCCTCAGTGAACTGGGAGTTGGGAGCAAGAGGAGCGCGGTGGCGTAACGATCTGAGTCATTGTTTAATGTTTATACAGCAAAACATACTGCTCTATAGATGGACTTCACAGAGAGATGTGTTTCGGGGTATTATAAAGGCTTTGCCAGATCCGAGAAACGTATCATCTGTTGTCTGTCCTGAGTCCTTGTTTACTTAATCCATTATGTAAGTTAATACTGCAGTGATAACAAGAAATGTTTTTGTTTTATACCCAGGAACTCTTCATTTTCAAAGTCCGGAAAGAAACTGTAATTCCTGGAAGATTAAGGGCTCAACTCTAGTAGCCTAAAAATAAAAAAGAGTTTGAGTAACCAGTAATTATTTGTGCTATTATTCCCAGAATTAAATGCGGGACAAATTAACGGACCTTGTGAATCAGTAATGCACTGATCTTAACAGCTAACTGCATGAAAGAGGGAGCAGATTTGGTGCACAGTTGGTCTGAAAATATCTGGCTCAATTTAGCCTCCTCTAAAACAAAATCTGCGTCTTTCTTTTTAAAGGAAGTGTTTAACAGTGAGTGCGCTTTGTTCCTCTCAGCTTGTCAAACTTCTTAAGACGTGAAAGTTGATATTGGAGACCAAACAAACAGACACTGCCTGCTAAAACTAGGTCACATCATCTCATCAGCTGACTGCAAATATCACACTTCTACAGTTTGGAGAAACACAGGGTATCCTTCGAGCGCTGCCTCACCATTTTTTGTGTGTGTGTCAGCATACTTTGTTAACTGGCCAACATCAAGCTGAAACGAGCCACCCCTCGAGTTAGTTACCACACAGAACATTGTAAATCCAAATCAGTTAAAAGCACTTCAGCCTGTGTTTCTTTTGCTCAAGAGAGGAGCTGATTTTTAGGTGCTGGACAATCCTCCCACCCCCTCCCTCTCAGACGTTTGCATGTCTGCACTTAGGAGCTCCTGTCTGTCTTTTTTTTTTTTTAAACCTCCACATAGACGCTTACAATCTGTCTCCGTGCGACTGTTTTAATGAGATTACTGGCACTTAAAATGCTCTACCTCCTCACCCAACCAAACCCAGGGCTCCCCTCCTTTATCCGTGTGGATGATCTCGCACCATCCCAAGCCAATTACACCATGGATGACTGGTTGTGGGCCATAACAACACAGCCAGGTTCTGTGGTTTAGGGATTATTTGCACGTACGCATGAAATTTTTTGTTAATTAAGTTTTTAACTTTAATTGTCCACAAAACACATCTCATCCCACAGTGTCAACACAGCCTCCAAAAATGCTAGAGGCAAGGTTTTTGCTTCAGAGTTGTTTAAACTTGTAAATTTGAAAATGCACAAATTGAAGGCTGAGAACACAGTAAGAGGTTGGTGGGTGTTTTAACCATATCCCATGGCAGGCTTTCACAACTTTCTTTGCTATTCCTGTTTCCTTAAACTTATTTGTATAATTAGATTGATACATATACAGGTAAAATAAGTCAGAACTACAGGATGGGGCAGTGTTTTACATGCTTACAAATGTGTAGTTGGTGTTTGGGAAAGTTTGCAAAAAAAAAAAAGGCACATGCGACCAAGCTTATTTTATGCCTCCCACACGAAAAGTGTCACTGGCACTTGAGAAGTCAGTAGTTTAGCTAGGCCATCTTTGATCCCACAGACCATAAATTAGGCTGATCCGTAATTAGAAATCACCCTTATTTCTAGAGTTTTATCACAACTCCTGCCCCCATTCATATCAGAATTTCATAGACAGGCTAAAAATGAATGTGTTATCTCTTATTTTCACCAAGACTGAGGATTACTAATAGTATTAATAATATTTAGTAATACTTAATAGTTTCAACTGCACAGATATTATAGCAGCAATACAAGGAGTACAGTGTAGAAAAAGAAACTGGACTTGCTGTGAGACTCTGTATGCCAGCATATACTGAGATGCACTGATAGCCTGGCATACCTGAAAAATGCATTAGGTCACAATTTGTTGGAAAAATAAACCTTTCAGTATTTTTAACACTGAGATACAGGTAGGAGTAGGGATGGGTATCGTTTAGATTTTATCCGATACCGGTGCTAACCCGGTACTTTTGAAATGGTGCCGGTGCTTAAATGGTGCTGAACCAATGCTTAAAGAATGGAGAACACAAACTTTGTCCAAAAACCTCATGTTTAGCTGGGGTTTTTTGTAAAAAGATAATAATGCTAGCCTTTTCTGCAGCTATAGAGCTTATATGGTATCACTCTATCAAACAAGAAGACAGCCGCATGTAACTACGACCGTGTTTGCTAGTTCACCTTACGTGCATTATTTTAATAACGTGTTTAGCCTGTGGCGATCGTGGCTCAAGAGTTGGGAGTTCGCCTTGTAATCTGAAGGTTGCCGGTTTGAGCCCCGGCTCGGACAGTCTCGGTCGTTGTGTCCTTGGGTAAGACACTTCACCCGTTGCCTACTGGTGGTGGTCAGAGGGCCCGGTGGCGCCAGTGTCCGGCAGCCTCGCCTCTGTCAGTGCGCCCCAGGGTGGCTGTGGCTACAATGTAGCTTGCCGTCACCAGTGTGTGAATGGGTGGATGACTGGATATGTAAAGCGCTTTGGGTTCCTTAGGGACTAGTAAAGCGCTATACAAATACAGGCCATTTACCATTTACTCAACGTAAATTACACACGAACAACATTAAGCTACTCACGCAGAGAAGAACGGCTGCTGCTGCCATCATCATCCGTCATCATTTCTGCTACACTGGCAGGGCTAGGGGCCAGGACTCTCCTCTTCGGGCTCTTGGGGGATGTTGCTAACTCCGGGTCCGATAACGGGCACCACACCTTGCAGCAAGCTGTCAAATACGGTGTATTTCTTGGCTTTAAAAAAACACTATGCGTCGCCAGGTGTTTCATCAGATTCGAGGTGTTACCTCCTTTGCACAGTATCACCTTAAAGCACCTGTTGCAGGCTGCTGAGTTTGCATCTTTTGATGTGAAGTACAGCCAGACTTTTGACCGCTTCGCATTTGGGCGTTTTTAATCTGTAACTCTAAAAGAATGTACGTACCTACCGTTTATGTCAGAACCGATACCGGTACCCATCCCTAGTTAGGAGGTAATTGTTGTGCGCATGTTTTAAAAGGTGAATGGGGTTTTGTTAGATTATAGGCGATGGGCTACTGGACGTCCTTACCGCTACAGGGAAGTGTTATAGAGTCGCATCCTATTTCCCTGAACAAATGTTGTGTAAACCATTAACTCACCAACTAATGAGCACCTAAATGTCATAACTGTTGATTCCCTCCCTTTGAGTCTGTTGGACTTCCCACAATAATGAAACTGAGAAAGTGACCTCTCATAAAAAAGGCCATTTTTAAAAAAATTTTATTTCTGTACTTTATTCATACTCATTTTAGCTCAGTCTGAGAGTCCCTGCTATTGTTTCTGCTGTGATCCTCTGCTTACTGTTTCATTGTGTGTAACATGGTGAAACTAATACACACAGAGTGGAGCAGAACATGAGGTGAAGTAAAGAGAAACTCATTCTAGTTTTTCATAATACGTTATGCAACTGTAATAAACAATTGCTATAAACGCTTAAGACATAAGGATCAAATGTCTGAAAGCTAAACTAAAATGCCTGTTTTGCTCCGCCAATGAAAAATAACGCACCCAGGCAATTCAGTGTAATTTACATTAGCATGGACTGATAGTCATGACTGGATTTATTTTGCTTGTTTGGTTCTTATGTACACAACGTTTTTGGTTGTAAATGAAGTGCAAAGGGAAATGTGCTAATTTGTTTTTCTGAGGTGCTGGTGCTTTAGTTTGGCATCCAGTCAGTAGATAGAGAGAGATCACCTGTATAGTAAGAGTAATAATACTAAAAATCAACCAATAGCAGATGGAGAAAGACAGCAAGACTAAAGTGATGGCTGTGACACAATTCAGAAAGCTTTCCCCTCGTGTTGTTATGGCCACACTGTCAAGTCAAGTCACGTCGATGAGGCGTCAGTTTGTCCTCCACTGCAGCTCTGCTCATTTAGGATGTCGAGTGCGTCTGTATGTACCTATGTTTATGCCCGGAGCTGCAGTCTCAGCTTTTTCACGCTCTAATCACTGTTTTTCAGTACAAACGCATACTCTCCTAACATGCACTCAGTTTATACACGGTGCCTCTTGGTCTTCAACTCTGATCTCTGCTTTCTTGCTCACATACACAAATGTGTAAAACCCATATGTCTTATTCATCCATGTCTGTGACAGTGTCCACCTGTTTCTTTGAACCTTCTTTAATACAAAGAAATTTCCTTTACCTCCTATTTCCAAACCAGGGTATTTTTCTTGTTTGTTTGTTTTTCTCATAGCATTTTTTTTTTTAAATCTTTTGTCCTCTACTGATCTTTTGTTGTCCTCCTACCCCCCCTGTTTTTCATCTAATCCATCCCCACCTCCTTCCATCCTACAGAGTGCTCTGAGGAGTACACTGGTGTTTACACTCCTCACTCTCCGTTTTCAGCAAATGCTACTATAACAGAGCTAGAGCTTACCCAGCAGTGCTGCTGTTTCTGAGGGTTTTTTGTTTGTAGTAGTAGCAGAAGCAACAATATTGCTGACCATATAACTTACTCTTATAGTGGGCTGTGTTGTGCATGTGCATCCAGAACACGCAAATAAAAGTGCTAATATCCATCTGCACAAGATGCTGCTACAGGCCAAGATTGTTACTGCTTGAGCAGGCAGTCAGAAAAAGAATCAGTCATGTGACTGGAGCATGTTCTCATTATCTAGCTGGATATCTTCCTGCTCATTGACTTACTGCATTAACTGTCCTTTCAGTCTATATATGGAGACGCAGAATAGCTCTGTATATAGCACCAGCCAAATGCTGGTATATGGTTAAATCTGTAGAAAAGCTAACTCTGATGCACTCTCTCTTATCAAGAGATAATGGTTTGTTTTTTGGGCTGAGGAATTCAGCATTTGAAAATCATATAATTTCCAACAAGTCCCGCCCCTTTTCCCCTTAATTTATATGCCTTTGCCTGTATCTCCTATTGGCATGTTTTTGAACTCCTCCAGCAGTGGCTCTTTTATGAACTCGACTCTAAAGGGTGATGTGCTTCAAGCATTCATTATGGAGAAGAGCACAGGCAGGATGAGCGTATATGTGTAGGGATAGGAGTCATGACATAACAACCAGGCAAGCTTGTCACATGTAGCCTGGAGGTGCAAGTGAAGTAGGCTGTTGACACACATGAGCACACAGTTTACGCTGACTTTCAGTAACCAGTTGGTTTTTTTTGTTTTGTTTTGTTCCCATGTAAAAACAGCTGTTGTTACGAGAGTAAATCTGAGTTCAGTTTTCAATCTCAGGCTAAACACACAGAGTGGAGCGCGCAGTGGAACAGACACGCACACACGAAGTGAAACCAAGAGAAGAGGTGAATAAAGAAAGTAGCACAAGCGTGAACGGTAGTAAAACACAAGCAACAAACAGAAGAGTGACTGCAGACAGTTCTTGAGCAACATGTCACCATCTACATTGCTTCTGATAGAATCACATGCACAAATGCAAAATAAAAACTCCACACTTCATAACATGAGGAAATGTGTTATGAAGGCTGTAAAAATGCAGTAATGATATAATGGACTGTCCTCTGTCTGTCTCTGACTCTTTTCTCTAACAGGATGAGACTGGAGCTTATGTAATTGATAGGGATCCTACCTACTTTGGCCCCATCCTCAACTACTTGCGGCATGGCAAACTGGTCTACAACAAGGAGCTCGCTGAAGAAGGTCTGCATGATTGTCTTATTTGCTTGCCAGTAGAAATAAGAATAATACTAGCACGTTTGTTGCAGTATGATGCAATTTTTCCCTGATGCCTTTCTTTTGCTTTTGTGTTTTTAATTGAATTTGTGCACTTTATATGAAGATTTGGTATGTCTGAAGAATGTATAAGTCTTCTACTGAGGTAGCTAAAATCAGTTAATGAATAATTAAGAAACTGTTGACAGTAATGGTTAACAGATGGCCAGGACTAATAATCAATAGTAGACTGATGTGGTTAAATATATGTTCTATAAAGGACAAAAGTAGAATTAAAAATTGTTAGCTTAAAGGAGTATACAGTGGTTGAAATATGAATGATGTTTAGCTGAATATTAAACAATAATATTTAAAGAATATTCTGTTTACTTGGACTGGTTTGCAACATGATTAGGGTGCAGCTGAGGTCATCTGGCGTGGAAATGTTGCACTACAGTGTCACACAGCAGCTGAGTTGAGTGTTTCTTCTGTGACCAGGTGTCCTGGAGGAGGCTGAATTTTACAACATCACCCCGCTCATCAAACTGATTAAAGAGAGGATCGTAGAGAGAGACTCCAAAGCCACACAGGTAAATGCACAACCTGTCAACAGTGAATCGCTGAGCTTCCAACTATAAAACGCAGTATATCACATTTATGTTGATTGTATTATTACTCTTGAAACGTATATTTACTGTATTTAGCTGTTCTGACATGTCCTGTGCTAAATATTGCAGTATTGTTTAGAGTCATAGGATATAGACGTTTGAGCGTTTCAGTGCTTCAGCCTTTATTAATGATTTTGTTCCCCCGGGTGCTTCTATAAAGAGGCCACTGCTGTACATCAGCCTTCTCTCTTCTTTCTTTGCTTTTCTCGGGATGGTTGGACTCACTCTTATATAATCCTTCTGCCCTCTCGAACATACTCCCACTCTCCCCTTATCCTACTGTTCTTTACTGGACTCACTGCTCGTGTTTGCCTAGCGGGGTTAAATATTGTGCAGAAATATGAAAATAGTGGTGCTGGCTTTTAAACTGCCCAAATAGGATTTGGTAATCCAGAGCGTTGAATGTTATGCAATATGAAATGACTGCACCTTATTGGAAAATTCATAGAATTCAGTCTAGCAGTGTCAGTATTTACTTCCCTTTTTGTATCTCTGGAAATGGTTGCACCTTCCTTTTCATTCATTTCCTGCATCGTCAACTCTTTCCTCTCTCATCCTTTTATACCAGCAGGTGCCCCCCAAGCATGTCTACCGAGTTTTGCAGTGCCAGGAGGAGGAGCTGACCCAGATGGTCTCCACGATGTCGGACGGCTGGAAGTTTGAGCAGGTCAGCGTGCGCACCTGCAGAAAGCCCCGCACCGGACTGCTCTGGACTGTGGGTTGGACTCACGCTGCTGCTGACCCTTTAACCGTGACCCTTGGTCTAACCCCTCGGTCCTGACCCGAGCCTTGCTGTTTGCATTCCCAATCTGAACTTTCCATTAAATCCTAGATTATGCCCTTAGTCTAGTTCTTGATTTGCTGGCCTAATGTTACAGTGACACTAGAGAAAACGGTGGTTGGAGACAACAGCACATGCAAAATAATTACATCCATGTGCCATCAACTGGCAATCTTGTGGAGTTTGAAATGGTTGCTTGGAAGCTGGGGACCAGGTCTCCAAATACTTCCTTCGAAGTCAACCTTCTATCAGTCTGCTGTGAATTTGTGATTGAATAGGGTGAAGTTGGCAATTATGTATCATCCGTTTGTGATAATATGGCAAATAACTGTGACAAATCAGTGGAAATCATAAATTTGTGTCCAACTCCTGCAAAGCTATTGCTGTGCATACAGAAATCCATAATAAATAGAAATTCATAGTAACTACTTGCATTCAGAGTCTAACCAGAACCACACAGATTAGAAAAGAAATTCAGAAGTTCCTCCATAAATGGAAGCGTAGTTGCTCCAGGACGAGAGTTTAACTGCAGGATGACAGGCACTCAGCAACATCGCATTAATGTAGGAATAACCAAATTACATCAAGTTTAGTTAAGTCCCCGTCTGGCAAATAGACTCATCAGAACTAAGTTGCACTCAACAGTTCAGACCGACAGACTGATTGCGATGTTTTGGCAATCTGTCTGCCTTTTATAAATTACACAGCAGTTATTTGCAGACATCTGAGCGCGATTGCAGTCGGTCCGTGTCGGACCACGACTATTTAAAGACACCTATGGGGACCAGACAACGCTTAGTCCCCACACCTACTTACATTTGGTCGCTGAATTTGATGCAGTCACTGGGCAACCTTTTTTGTCGCCTATTTGAAAGGAGGTTGCCATTTAATTTGTACTCTAGCGTGACTGAGCCATTAAACAGCCCCTTTAATCTAGTGAGTCCGTGTGAGTTAGTCCCAGAACCTGTAATCTTAAAGAAATCGTGAACTTTTATAGTTTTAAAATTATGATACTGATTTTGGAGAACCAGTTCTGTCAAATAAACACGCCTTCTTGTCTGTTGTAATGTCAGTCTGTTATTGGCCACATCTCCAAAGACGACCTGTTAATATGTTTAATACTTCTAGACTTCATGGCGTTAAACTGGCCAGCCTTTACAACACTGTAGGCTAAAAATCGCACACAGACCCTGTGTCCCTCCCCCACTCCTCTGCTTTAGCACTTGGCTCCCCTGCATGCTGCACAGCTATGATTTTCATATATTTTTCAGCAGAGCTGACCCGCAGTTGTTTTGCTGTTTCCACAAGTACACAGCGCTTGAATCTACTGCTGCGTCCTCCCCCGTCCCCCAGCCATGCATGAGCAAAAGCAACCTTCCTTAGCTGTAGTATGGGATCTCCACTTTCTGTCTCCTGTGCTGGAAGTCCCCATGATACTCACTGTGTGTCTTTGTCTCTGTCCCTCTCTGCTCTGTATTTCTCTCTGCATCTGCGTCTCTTTCTTTCTAGATGGTGAACATCGGCTCGTCGTACAGCTATGGAACAGAGGATCAGGCTGAATTCCTGTGCGTCGTATCAAAGGAGCTCCACACGGCCGGATCTGGGCTGGGAACAGAGCAGAGTCACAAAACCAAGGTGAGTCTCGATATTTTGCATGAACACACAAGTATATTTCAAAATACACTATGGGGAGAAGCTGCTAAGCTGTGTGTTAGCTGTGTTCGTATGTGTGTATTTCTGCTTTGTTGCGCGATGTGTGAAAGAGTAGAGGTCTCTCAGCTCATTAAAGGTGATATGAGTGTGCTTTGATCCTGCGCCTCTCCACTCAAAGCTCCAAATGTCACTCCCCTCAAAATGTCATTCACAAACACATTCACTCCATCATTCACACAGCTCTGCCTTTCATTCCTGCAGTTCTCAATCATTACTGTATTGGTTCTTCCTCCTTCATGTGGATATATTAATATATATCTGTGTCTGTTTTTTACCTCTCAGCCTCTCACTGTCCACTCACTGACACTCATCCGTGTGCTCATTTTTGTCATTTTTCTGTCGCGTTTTTTTTTTTTTTTCTTTTCTTTTCCCCTTTTGTATTTTCTCCTCCTTCCTTCATGCTGAATGAAGCCCACAGAGATGCAGGAGGAAGCGGCGAAGGAGGAGGAGGAGGAGGAGGAGGAAGAGGGGGGGAGAGATACCACACCAAATGAGTGGCTTAGAGAATGAGGGAGTCATGTTTCTTTGTTCCAAAGAGATGCCTGACTGGGTGAGGAACTGTGCAAAAGATGTGCTAGTGGGTAGATGTAGTGGATTTTAGTGTGTGTGTGTCTATATGTCTGTGATGTCTGTGAGAAATATAGAAGAGGTTTCATGGCACAGCATTGAGTATGGCCTTACAGTTGCCTTTCTGTTTCAGTCTGAAGCTCTTTCTTCATTGAGTCAGTCCCATGTTAAAATGACCAAATGTAGTTGTGCATTTGGTCAAAGTGAATGTTGCATTTAGATTACTGGTCGAAAACGGTAAGGTTGCAATGATTGTAACACATTAAAAAACATGGGCAAAATATAACACATGCATAATCGCTAATCATGATTTGGACCATAAACAACAAAAATAAACTCTTACTTTGACTAGGATGGAGGCCTTGTGCTCATAACCAACATGAGCACAGGACCAGTTAACTTGTATTATATTTTTAGGATAATTATAAGTTATTTACACCATTGCACAATTGCTATTGGTCCTATATTTACAGATATGCTTGTTATACCAGCATGCAAAATGTGCTCTTAAAGTAACATGCCAGTAGTGTCCCTGCAGCTAACGACAAGAACGAAGCGATTTCCTCTTTATCTGCAAGTTTACCCCTTAACTGTAAAAAGGCTGATGGGGTGAACACGATAACTTAGACTTTTTGAATGAATACTAGTAAATATGTCAGAGGAGTTCAAATCTCAGTGAGGTCAGGGTCAGAGGTCAGGTTTTTTGAAAATCTTGTGAACACGATAACTCGCGAAGGTAGTCCCCTGGGATTTGGTGTAGCACTGTGTCAGTATTTTTTAATTCATGCACTGATGTTTTGTGTATAACATTTAAAATAACCAGTATTATTATAATAATAATGTGTTAGCACTCGATCACCAATCACAGTGGTTAGCTGGTAATTTGACACAAATATGACCAGTTCTTGTTCAGAGAAAAAAAACAGCTGTGATCAAGATACCAAGACCATCTTTTATATATAGTTATTTGTCACTGTGATTAAATGGAAAACAGATTTCGATAAAATACATGTGTGTGAGAGAATGTGATGAATTTTGCTAATTGGCGCTTGGTTGGAAATGTCACTTTCCCCACACAGCCTCACATGTATCGATTGAGAGCTGCGTCTCTATGGGCTCTCATTGTCAATGCTGTGACATGGAATATCTCTGACCTTTCAGTGCAGCAATAGTCTTCAGATGTCCTTCCCAGTCTGTGCACATACATATACAGTGTCAGTGTAAAGTCACACACATGTGTAATTAACATTTGCACAATTTAAAATTCAGTAAATATCAAAGCAGAAAACACACACTTGTATGTAGTAAGTAGCGAAAATGGCTGTGTTTGTTTTGTTGTTGTTGTTTCCAGTCATTATACGTGATAGTTAAGTCACTTATTCTCAGTTGCTCAACATATTCATCATCATTGCCATCATTGCAGCCAAAACCATAGCTTAGATTGTTTGCAGTGACTGTAGATTTTATGTCTGTACTTTTCCAATCTCTAATGTCTGTTTTTGTTTTTGTTTTGTCGTTTTGTCTTTCATTTTGCAGCTTTTTCAAATCCACGGGTCCCGGATGTAGAAATCACGAGAATTTATTTTTCCTATGCTTGTCATGTTCTGTACATGGCATTTGTGTGTTTTTGTCCGTGGACAGTCATCGCAATACGTAGCATTGTTGCCACTTCATTGACAAAATGCTGGTTAGTATTAGCAAACATCCAAAAATGTCTAATATCACTGTTAACGCAATGGAGCAATACCATCTTAAAAAAAGAAAAAAGTGAAATCACCTTAATTTACAGACATGCTCATGTGTTGTGTCTGTGCAGATGTTATATTGCCAAGGGCAGTAGTGCAGCTTAGTAAATCATGACCAAAGAGCCATATTAGATCTGGCTGAACCAAGGTGCTAATTCTTAATATGACAGGAGAGAATTGGCCTCGTCTTGGTTAACCTGTGAGGAGCTGTCCCATCTGTGCTGCATAGGATTTGCATCATTTTATTTCCTAATGAAGCAGCTATCCCAGTGATTTATGCAATTGTTGCCCAGTCTTTGACCACCGACTCTGCTGAAGTCCTGACAGTATTTCATAGTTTGGTACGAGGTTTTCTCATGACAAAAAAATCACCTTGGTTGTGAAGAAAACCTGCCAGCAGCTGCTGGACCCCACAGAGCAAAAGTGAGTTAAATCACCCATATCAGCCTTATTTAGAGATGACTTCAAGCATACTCAAGTAATTAAATCTTCACGAGCTCAACTCAAAGTCCACTAATTTGTTGCTCTCAGTCATTCAGGAGGGTGTGTGTTTGTGTGTTAGCATAGCCACTTCTTGGTTTGGACTGTGTAACTGAAGTAGGTCAGAAATGTGCTTGTGGGGACAATTTTACACTTTCTGGACATTACAAAGGTGCACACGCTGCACTGGTGAAAACACAAACTGCTCTACATTGTTGCCCACAGACACACACACATGCGCGCGTATACACATATATCCCTTGTTTGTGCTGATGCATACCTGCATCACCTTGCACAACAGCAGTGTTGCTTCAGTCTGTTGCCATGGCTGGGATCCAGTTCCTGCTTTGGCCTCAACAGACTTGGAGACGTTGGTGTAGTCAGGAAAGGCTTAAAAAGCAGGCATTGAGGAGGAAGGGGGCAAGGATGAGTCTGGTGTACCACAGCTTTGTAATATTAGTGATCATATCCTGTTTTTGTTCCAATAAAAGCCCCACAGCAGGCAGATCTGCTGCAGTGCAGGTGTATGACTGAAAATAAAATGTCAAAGAAAGCCACGTGACTTTTAACAACCTCTGCTGTGAACATGCAAGAACCACACCACAGATCACATTTGAACTCATGCACGAGACTGTGGCCAATTTCCTTATAGCTCTAGGCATCACTCTGCAAATACACCACTCACATTTGGTGTTTATTAAATTTCAGGAGGTGCACTTAGTGACTGTTAGGGTGAAACCAAAAGGGTTATACATTAGTTATAAAACAGCAGGTTTTTAAAGCATGTAGATAAGAATTTAGAGTAGGTCTGCTATAGTCCAACATCACGCTGTAGCTTATAAGAAAACACTTTCTTGAACAGATGCTAACATTAAAATGCAACTCAGCACTTCTTGGATGCATAAATAAGTACATTTGTGGAGTAAGTGATGTAAGTTATTGGTCTGTTTTCAGCCTCAAATTAAGATTTGGTGCGCTTCTCAGATTGAACGCAAGCCCAGAGGGATTATTTCTGCCTCTGAGACTACAGCAGCCGTGTTAAGCATTGTCTGCCTGCAGCTTTAGTCTCACCTCCTGCTGTTTAGCTCCTACAGCACACCTACTGACCAGCAACACACAGCCAACAAGTGTGCAGGGGTCACAAATTTGAGACAATCGAGAAATAAGATCGTGGTCGGCAATCTTTTTTTTTTTTTTTTTTTTTTTTTTTTCCCCTTCCCCTCTATCTCCTAACATTTTGATAATAAAATCAATTTAACATAAAAAAAATGGGATGTAAATACAATATTCCATGTTTGTTTTCCATTTATAGCACTGATCAGAAAACATATCCTCAACCTGTGGGATCCTCCCGATCCCTAATTAGGAGGATTAGCAGAACACGGTAAATGTTAAATGTGTAGTTAGCCTGCAGTTACTGCGTACGATACTCATAACAGTGATATTGACAGAACAGAGAAGACCAAAAGATTTCATTTCTTTGGCTTTTTTTCCCCCCTCTTCTCTTTGTGGCTTTTAACTCGGATCATTCAGTGCCTTGAGTTCAAGCAGCAAAACAGACATGTCAGCATGATCGTAGCTGTTATTCCATGCGTTTTTAAGTGGCTGCTTTTAATATTTTACAGTAGATGGTTTACAATCTCACTTTTTGTTTTTACTTTAATTGTCTTCTCGTGCATTTACTGAGGTGTTCCTGTAGAGATAAAGAGTAAGTGTGCACACCAAACAGCTGCATGCATGAGGTGAAGCTGGTTTAAGATGTTTTGTATAAAAAGCACCACCTTTTTTTAATTGTTTTGTAAGTTTTGATGTCTAATTTATTCTTAGACTTTCTTTTTGAATATTACATTGTAAGAATTTGGCCGTTTGTTTTTAGATGCGTGTGGGGGGGGGGGTACTTTTGCTCGTTTCTACTTGAAGAATAGTGTTTCTGTTTCACTGTCCTGACGATCTCAAACAGCACATACTGTATAATCAGCAGGTTTACTGATTCCAAGTTTTTCGTCTTGGTTCACTTAAATGTATAAATCTCCATTTGCATGTCCTGTTACAGTACCTTGTTTGTTTTTTGCTTGATCCTCACTTCATTTTTGCTGTACAATCAGTACTTAATGTGTAAACACAGCAGAGCTCTTTCATTAGCCTGTGCAAAAAAAACAAACATCTGTCATCGTCAAATCGGGATAGAAAAACATTTCTCTCTGATGCTGGAGATTCTTTCATCTGCTGTCTGTAGAGCCACTTTACTGTCTGTGAGCATGAAATGGATCCATGTGTGACGCATGAATCGTACGGGCTTCAGGAATCAGTGTTTGGATAGTTTCAAAACTGGACTTCATGCGGTCCTGAACATATGACATCTTCAACAGAGTGAAAGGAAAATGTACTTTTTTTTTCTTTCTTTTTTTTAAATTTAATGTAAATGAATGTCAGCATTGTCAACAAAAATAAACATTTGGTTTAAGGTACAAAGTCTTTGTTTTGTTTTTTTGCCCTGATCACAATGAGCCCACTGTGCACTGCTTTCTATACCAGCGGTCCCTAGCCCCCGGGCCCACCGGTCCACGAGCGAGAGTTGAGGCTCAGGAGTTTCGGTTTCCCTGGGTCTTTTCCCTTGTGTTATGAATACGTTTTCTATATATTTTCATGCACTTTATATTTGTTTTGTAGTTGTCTTATTTTGAAAGACATGTTTTTATGCGTTACCATAGTGACCAGAGTGTCCAAATTCATGGGCCGCATTTGTAGACCGATTAAGTCACAGCGACGCGTCGAAGGCTGTCCAAATTCGTTGACTCTCCGAATGTAGCCGACAAATGCGTCCTCCTTTTCACGGATGTGTCGGGTGTGTCCTTCGTGGCCCACCATATCCCAGAATTCATAGCACGGCCCAGCCAAACTCCAGTTCGTGGCTGCTACTAAGTTTTAAAATTACTCTTA